CTAGTTGGTTTCGAGGGCGCCAACGGGCAGAGCCCTTCTTCGTCTTCCTCACGAAATACATTCGCGGGCAGTACGTCCACGGCTTCGCGGAAAGCATATCCCACGCTCTCGGTAACCGAGCGCCACACACCGCGCCAGCCCCGGGCGGCGGGTTATCTCTTAAAGGATGAGGAGGAAGTCGACTAAGAGTCGGATAATCCTTTCCCATTATGGGGAGACGAGGAGGGCGAGGTGTGCCAACAGCGCGATGTGAGCCCTGCCCGAACCTTGCGGACACCGTGTCCGTCCTCCGACCTCTCGGCTTCCGGGGATACTGGTATTATTATTAATCGCCTCGACTAGGCACAGGAGCAGCAATTGAAGGCTGCCCACAGGGCGGTTCTCATGCGCTCGTTTCCACGTTCAGTCCTAGACCCTCGTATGGGGTACGGCTTGCGCTCGGCGGATCCCGCTACTGAAGCCAACGGTGCGATCACTCGATCTTTAGGCGGCTACGTAGTCGGGCCTCCGGTCACTACACAAGCTGAGTTTGACCAGCGAAAGGTCTCCGAGCTCGCTTCTTGGTACCTCAAAAATTCTAATGGATAGGCTCCGCGCTCGACTTTGAGCTCAAAGGGGAGGCGCTCCTGTACCCGCAATGCGGACTATTCATAAGGTGCATGCTCCTGGTAGAACCGCTGCAGGTGATGAAAAGCTCTTTGATCGATGGGTGGAAACCTGACTCGCTTCCTCACTTACTCGGAGACACAAGGAAGCGAACGTGCGTGTAGAACGCCATCTTCGATTCGAGTTTGCTAAACCCGAGGCGCGACGCCGACTTTCTTCATATTGTCGCCCTGTGACACATGAATCATCCATCACGCTCCCGCGAGCTCTATCGTTTCTCACACGGATGAAGATACGACCACAGCGTCTCAGGGCCATAACTTGAGCTCAGCTCATGACCCTTCGGCCTCCCGGGCTACTGCCGAGAAGCGCGGGACGCACAACGATGCGGAGCGTCATGATCCCTTCGATCATAAGCGTCCACGACAACTTGGCAGTCTTGCAGTAGTGGCACCTCAAACTTCCACGAGCTCTCGGACTTCGGGTATCCCCGCCACTTCACAAGATACTGGCTTTGACCCTGCTGACGAAGTCGAACCATAAGACGTTCCACGTGATAGTGAATGCCGACATTCCCATCGAGAAGATTCGGCGGTGTATGATGGCCACTAGTCGATCATCGTTCAGTGACTCTCGATGCTCTTCGAGCTATGGAGGACAAAGTTCGTCGTCATCGGCACTCTGCCGAGCATCCTGCCGAGGTCGCCAATATAAAAAATGGTGATGGCTGTGATATGGCTATAAATTGTGAATCATGCCATCTGCTATATATTGCTATTCGCGGTGTGGTAACACAAGATGGTGAGATGGTGTGGCTACACCTGAACAAGAAGTAAATACGTGGCTGGACTGCCAGTAGCTATGCATTTTAATAAGGTTTTACTACTTCATCAGAAAACCCTATAGATTTAGATATAGGCGGCTTGCGGCAAATAAAACCGAGGAATACACTTTACATTTTAAGCGGAAGAGTTTATTAGCCCCGGGATAAAATTGAAGCTGCTCTTGGAGTAAGCGGATTGCGATCCGCTACACTCGTATTGCTTAGAAGTGTAGAACGAAAGTCACTGACCTTAAGTAAGCTTCCTCTAAGCAAAAGAGATACAACATACCCGCTACAAATGGTGACGTCGGTAAACTAGTGGCATCATCGTCCCCTTATATAAGCAATGCGATAGGGACGAATTGTCTAAAGAGACATCACCGTGGAAGGCGGTCACAAATAATACATTTGCCCAACTACCCCTCCCCAACGGATGTGTGTGAAGGCGCTGTTTGGCATCTTGCCCCGAGAGGGACGACGACATTGTAACCTTGATATTCCCTACTGTTTAGCAAGTTGGTGTGTATCACACGTAGAGACAGCGTTTACTCAATATGTCCACGTTTGCCGACGCACAGAATATGAGCTCACCCAGAGCACCTCTTAAATTTTTAGATACCTTTTTTGCTCTTCAAATTTTATTAGACTAATACTGAATATATTTTTCCGTTCGAGTAACGTTAAATGGTGTTAAAAAGCTTTCTACACTTTTGATGAAACCACCTCCACAGCTGCGCTATAACTCTATCTTGGAGCACTACGCTTGCTTTTGATCAGCCGCATATCGCGGCAACGATTTAGGACGCCATCTCAGTACGTTGATGCATCGATCTAAAATTTGTTTTTACCTCTGGTCGCCGCGGTCAATTACACTCCCAGCCACTCGCTACAATCAAGTGTTTGTGCGGCCGCTGCAGCGTTTGACAACCATGTTCGAGTAAACGATGATAATATTAGAGATTGATGAAAATGAGTAATTAGTAATGCACTACCGGAAAACAAAATGGGGGCGATTTGAAACAGGAGAGTATTGGAATCGTCTATAAATGATCGCTGATGCGTTTAAATTGGCCATGACAGCTAAATTTGAATATTTAAACAGAGCGGTTTAAATCAGATAAGCTCAGACTAAGCAAATTGGAGCTAAGTTGGACTCATGGTGGGCATTTGTCCGCCTTAAGAAAACGATAAAGATGGAGCATCTGTTTCGCCGAGTCGACACAGGCAGGAGTTCCCATCATGACCAAGCAAATGAAATTCTGGTCGTCGTAGTGTTGCCTCCACCAACGCAACAAGCGATTCTTCGGACCATGTCTGTGATATCATACTCTTGGGCCTGACGAGGCTCCCAGATACCCAAGTCTGATGTATAGCCGCGCCACCATACTCTGCAGAAGCGTTGATGGTTCAACTGCTGCTTTTCTCGTAGTATACAATCCTGTCAACCACTCATCAACGCTCCTCACGAGAGACTAATAGCGGTGTTGGGTTGAATGTGGAAACGATTGAGCGACTCTGCAAGTGAGATCATCGTTGAATAGTCGCGGCATTTCAGTAACATTGCATGATGCTTGAAGATCACTCCGAAAACCTTTTGAATCTTGTTACAGAGCTGAGCAGAACTTGAAACTCGACGTTCTGACTGATGGTTTCTCCAATACTCGGCTTTGGAGTGTCTTTTTGAACTACGTTTCAAGATGTTCGTGATAATCGTGTTCGACACCAAAAGATCGAGAAGCCTCGAGAGTTTGCTCACGAACACCTGTCGCGTTTTGTTGAAGAGGTGGGCTCTGTAATCAAAGTATTCCGTGGTGAGTACTTATCTCACTTTCAGGCGTGGAATGAGTAAAGGAGCAATCTTCTCTGCCATTAAATAATTGTATGCCGGGAAGTATCTGTAAGGCAAAGAGTTGGTTGCTCTTCGTGGACACGTAAAAAACTTCATGATCAGTTCGATCATCTGCCGGAGGTAAATTAGGAACAGCAGATTCTATCAGAAAAACACGATGTATGCCTACCTACATAGAATGTAGGATATTGGCGCATGCAAGTAGGTATGGCTAATTGATACGCCTTACCATTGCGTTTCAACATCTTGAGAGGTCCAATGAATCTTTGCAATATCTTTCTGCTTTCCAAGTTAGACACTTCGTGCTCGGGCGGATTTGTCGTGCTAAGTAGCTCGAAATCATTGATCTTGTACACCTTTCCTCTCATCTGCCTGTTCTTGCATATCCTGAGCTTTCGTAATAGCACCTCGAACAAATCACACAACGGCTTGTCTCATCATTATAAAGTCATCCACGTGCTTTTCCTCACGCCATGTCATGTCGTCTCGAGGCATCATCGGGTCGAAATTTTCTTTTAACTATAAGACAGCCTTAAAATCTGACTTTGGCTCGTAGCAACAGTTATCCCCATTAACGTAGTGACCTCGTCCATTATAAAAAAACGCTCTCTAGGATGATCAACACAACTCACTAAAATGGAGAATCACCTGTCGAGACATGCGTGGAATTGTTAAACGCAAACGTTACAAGAGGGAACAATTCACTTCATTCGTAGCATAATTACGCAGTACGACCTCCAAAACTCGATCCACATGCTCTGTTTGACCGTCTGTTTCAGGGTGTGCCGCTGTTGACATGGACAAATGAGAGCTCAATAGTCCAAAATGTGCATGCCAAAGTTTCGACATGATATGGTTGTCACGTTCAGACACATTTTTAACAGGAAGGCCATGCAGCTAGAAACAACGCCTGCAAACACCTTAGCTGCTTTCTCCGCAGAGATCGCATCCAAATAAGGCGCAAGATGACCCATTTTGCTGAATCGGTCAGCTAACACAACAATCCCACTACATCCATGTGAGGTACGCGGAAGTCCGGACATCAAGTTCATCCTCACAAACTTCCAGCTATCAGTTGGTACTGCTAATGACCGAAGTGGAGTCTGAGTTGACCCGATGGTTCCACTATCTGGCAAATCTCACAAGTCCTCACATACTTACACACCCGCTTATATATGAGTGGCCAATCAATTTCCCGGAGAAAACTGGAAAATGTTATTTTGCACTACCGAGATGGCCACTCAAAAGGCTTCTATGGTACTCGAATAAGAGACGATGGCGCAAACCTTCGTCATTAGAAAAAACAACCTTTGCGGTATCTCCGGGTTTAACGGAATTGACGCAAACTTTTTCAGGTTAGAGTAGAGCTTATTCTTTCGCATAACTTGAAAGACTTGACAAGGAGTCGGATGCCTATGTTCAATTTGATCTGATGATCGATCTTCGGATCGAGATGAACATCGGCAGAAGACTTCACACCCGTTTTTATACTATGAGCGAATTTATCGTCAAGGTAATACGGTGCAAACTCTGCCTATAACCAAAGAATATTCGTGACTATTTTGTTGATAGTCGCGATAGCATTCTTCAAACCTTGTGGCGTCACTAATTATTCCCACAGCATACCATTGGAGGAAGTGACTGCAGTCAGTGGTGTACCATTTTGCGCATTCGTATCTGATAAAAGCCATCTCTCAGATCAATCACACTGAAAACAGTATGACCACCATTCCATCAAGGATCATATTCTCGTGTGGAACCAGAGTCAGGGCAGGTATAGTTGCATATTTAATTTAATTGCCAACCACCTGTGAAAGGAGAAGGACAGTCTTGTGTGGACGGAAGAAGAATGGTTGGTGGGCTTAAAGGCAAATCTGTAACTGAGTGAAATAAAGTATTGGTTCCTATCAACAAGCAAAACATACCAAGGGCTTTTAGAGGTGTTACAAATAAAACCGTGGGTTACTACATATACTTCATAAAAATAGTGTACTGTAGTTGAGCGTCAGCTTGACCTTATCCAAGATCTTAGGTGTACAGAGCTTTGACTTCGAAAAGCTTATATTTCAACTTTTGTGGAGAGTATCCGGTGGAATTGACTGGCTTACGCCATCCACTTCGAAATACAGAGACACGCTGGTCTCGTTCTAGGTGTGGTCAAGAATCCTTCCTATCGTTTGTTGAAGCAATATCACGAAGTCGAGACGAATTCTACCAAGTTTGTTACCCCTGAATATGGAAGTGCATCATAAAACTGGGTTAATTCCGGCAATTTCATAAATGCGACACAGGGAAATGGTCTATGATGATGATGATTTGTTTACCCGCAGGGTAAATGCTGGGTTGCATTGGAAATTGTGAGGCTAAGTTTCGATATCAGTTCATGTCCCAAACACCGTTGTACCAAAACAAACGTTGACGTTGCTGGAGGAAAGCGCGAGAGAATAATTATTTTGTCAACAATACTATGGGTGTAACGCGATATAGCGGAAGGTTATGGACGTGACGAAAGAGATTGGAGTTTTCGTATGTTGTAGCATCAACCTATGCTCTTAGAGCTAAATTAACCTGGTCACGAAATGTTGTGAACAGTCTGGATGTGAGCCACTTGAGAGACAAAAGCTGTAAAATTGTAGGTAGGATATTTCATAAAGTCTACGGATCATCAAAATCTAAATATCACCGTTTAGTAGTTTTGCATAAAAAATCAATTTTGTGTTCAGCACATGAGTAGAGTGAGCCACACAATACGTTGCGAATTCTATTGTCAATAATGTCAGCCTTTCAATGAGAAGCAAAGCTGCGGACAACAGTCTTACGATACTGTTGCGTACGACTCATCTCTTCTCCATTTGCAACGGCATCAACAATCGACAATTCACCTCGTAAATCTGTTTCCATCTTTAGCTTGAGTTGCTTGCCTGTAAAGCCTTTTCCCATGAGATAAGCCAATTTGGCCACACATGCTTCAATTGTCATATCGAGGGATGTTATGACTCCCATATTTAGCAACGTAATACCTGTTGCGTACGTATCTAGTTGAGTACGGCCTTGTACACATTGCGACGTGATAGTGACTGGGATCTCGGCTTCGATTGCCATCTGTACAAGACGTAAGAAACCATCTTTCCGTAATGGTGCGTTTCCCGTTCCATATAGTGCAAAGACTAATGCTTTTCGCTTATCCTGGTCTTTGTACGCACTATGTCGTTCAATGTATGCTTCAATACACTCCCCGTCAAATCCAGGTACCAAGTGAAAGACACAAATATCTGTTGACAAATTTGTGAAGACACGAAAGCGGGACCGTGGGTACGGAAGAATAATTGGTTGGTCTACAGTGGCTTCAACTCCCGTGATTGCCAATGATGGAAAATTGGGCGAGTGAAAAGCATCAACTGACATATTGGCCACTTTTGTCGTCCGATTTCCACGTAGCAATTTGTTATTCGAGTAAATGCAGACTTCAGGAATCGCCAACGTGGCTGCACACATGACCGACATGATCAAATTGCGTCGTGCATCACTATGTGGAAAATGCAGAGGAATCATGGCCCCCGAGACAACAACCGGTTTGCCAAGATATTCGAGCATGAAGCTTAAAGCTGATGCCGTGTATGCCATCGTATCGGTGCCTTGTAAGACCACAAATCCATCGTAATCCCAATACTTAGCTTCAATCTCTTTAGCAATCGTAGCCCAATCGTCAGGAATCATGTCCGATGAGTCAATAGGATTTTCCCACTCACTCACAGTCACGTGAGGCATGGTTTCGAACTGAAATTCGTCCATTTCGCGAATTTTTTTTTCCAAGAATCCACTGCTTGGATGTAACACGCCATTCTCATCGGGTACCATGCCAAAAGTACCGCCAGTATAAATGACAAGACAATGCGAGCGTTCAGGGTGGACACCAATACCATTGGAGTTTGTGATCGTAGGGGTAGGAGCGTGCATGGACCCAGGAGATGCGCACACATGGGCCTCCGACTCATTAAAGGGAACAGCTACGGGACTTACGCCATTCTGTGCAACGTCAAAAGAAGCGCTAAAACTGTTGCTAGTATTGCGTGTCTTGGACTTGGTACGAGCCATTGACGGTAGGTCTGAAAATGGTCGAACAACTTCACTCGACGTTTCAAAAGTTGGAAAAGCTTTGCTAGTAACTTGTTACCCTTTTATAGGGAGAAGAGCCCGTTATTCTTATTAAGAGGTAGGTAGGTATGGTATCAATGTGGATATAGGGTACGACATGTTGATGAGATGACTAGTGGAGATGCGATGTCGCTTTGGAAGATTCAATGGCTGATGAACGAAACAAATTCTTGCTGGTCATATATTCTTAAATGAATTAGTGATAAGACCAATATGTCGTCATGTGTTTCAGTTTGAGGGCATGATCACCATCATTGGCACGATTACAGCGTAGAGGATCTTCTCTTGCACAAATGATAGAAGCTGTAAACTTGAAGCAGTCGACTAGACCAGTTTCTGACAATGTGTTAAGGTCAGGAAATCTTTTGAATAACATTTACTGATGCTATATCGGACACGAGCACAATTGGGTTTCTTAAAGAATGTTTACCTATCGTCAAGTCGATACTTTGTGCGAGTAAGTCAAAATCCTATAGCACTCGCTGTACTTTTTGTAACTTTAAGTTCTTGACGAAAGCAGACGCAGTCCAAAAATTGAAGAAATATTTTGCTCTGCCTCATCTAAAATCAAACGTCAAGTCTTTTGTTCATCGACTACAAGCGAATCCTTTTAAAATGTACAAAATGGTACGTTGCAAAGCATCATTTATAATACACTACCATCTTTGTTACCCTTGAGGTAGTACCATATAAACTTAACACTGAAGAATAACATCAGAGCCCACATACATCGCATGATAGGAGTTGGAATTTTTCTTACGCAAAATTCAAAAACTCACTGTCCTTTATCACATAGTCATTAGGTCAGTATTTCTGTGAAGAAATGACATATGGTTTGTGTCCCTACACCCACAGCCAGACGTTCAAGAAATTGGTAATTTTCAAGGTCGGCCACAGAATCAGGTACAGGTCGCTCGATTTGTGTGGTAACGGCGTGGAAGCGAAGGAAGTATATTTTCTCTCAGTGAAAGATAGGTCAAGATTGAGTGCCATATTTGCCTTACACATGGTAACATCCTTAATAACTATGGCTAGGTAGGGCCTTGTAAGGTTCCTCTGAGTTGTCATTAAATTATGCATTTCGCACAATGCGTTGTTTTTCGAGCAAACTATACAGCGCAGAGACACCGAATCTCCGTTTAAACAATACTTGGGATCCAGGCAGTAAGAAATCGGCCTTGAAAGCCTGTGGATTACGCTCTAAAATAGTGAAGAGACATGTCTTAAGTGCGTGCAACAAATTGCTCTGCGCCTCGCACATAGGAAAGATTCGGCATCACAAATCTGCGTATGAAATGCACAGAGACTGCTCTACTTGAAAGTACTAGAATTAAAATCAATATTATACATGTTTTACTGTCTATATCGAAAAGCTGGATTTACCATGCGATGTTCCATGTCCGGACTTCCGCGTAACTCACATGGATGCAGTGGCATCGTTGTGTTAGCGGACCGATTCAGCAAAATTGTTCATCTTGCGCCTTATTCGGAAACGATCTCTGCGGAGAAAGCAGCTAAGGTGTTTATTGTTGAACAAAATAGGTGGCCCGATACGCTACCCCTGCGCAAAAGTGCTGCAAATGTCAGATAGGAAGGAAGGACCTGGTGGGTTGAAGGTAAGTTTTCAAGTAATGTATTATGCTTATAGCTAGCTAATTATGCAAATCGTTGGGAACTTCATAACTCCTCCTGGTGTACTTAGGTACGACTTAACTTGTTTCCAACACTCCTCCCTTGGTGTGCTGTACATCGTCAACGAGACCACAAAGCGCGCGGAGTTATCCAAGTTTAGTCGCCGACAAAGCCTTTGTCATCAAATTGGCCTTCATTTCTTCACTCTGTACGTATTTCACCTCCAACATTCCGTTTCTGATGCGT